TTCACACACGCGGTAAAAAATTTTTCATGCATGAATATGTATAAATATGTATAAACATACATAAATATTCATAAACATATATAATCATATATGAAATATGTCCATTCATATTCATACATCTCTCTTTCTTTTGTAAAATTATTTTGTATTGTAATAGAAATAATAGCAATGTAAAAACATAAAAAATAATTAAAGGGATAATTTTCGCATTAGAAATGTGACACTTCTTTCGTATCTTATTTCTTGAATTTTTTTCTCGCACTATTTACAACTAATTCTCTAATGAATTTCAAAGTATGATCATTATATTTCAGAATATTGATTCATTTAATACGTATGTATTCATCTAATTATCTAATTTTATAAATATGTATATGTACAATATATATATTATTGTACATAATAATGTATATATAATATTGTACATAATACTTGTATATATAATATTTTACATACACAATATTTTTACTCCAAAGAAGAATTTACAGAAGGAGAATGAGAATGGTGGTCATACCCGATTCCTCTCGCAAACATACTCTTGGAAGAGGATTACGTCTTACGGACATAATTCACGGAACTGTGACCAATATATCATACAAGGAAGAGGAAGAAAAAATTTCTCTTTTACCCTTCATAGTTGTCAATACTACTATAAAATGCACCCTTCAATTCATGATGTGATTGATCGCTCTTTCCTTGAAAGTTGAGCGCGCAAGCGCTTGACGTGACTACGTATCCTCTGGATTTTCCATCCTTTCAGTACTACCTGAGCTTCCGTACTTTAACGATGCGGAAATCACTCTCTACTCAGGAATCAAATCCGTTAACGACCATTTACGATCACGAGAAATACGCGCAAATAAGTATCCAGCCGCTCCGTTGGATACTGAAGTCAATTGGCATTTGGCCTAATTCACTCAAATCCCCTTCTCCGATAAAGAAATATGTGCGCGTGCTAATGAACGTAATTTGTTTCGGTATGGTGGCTTTTCTCTTCATCCCGTGCGTCTTCTACGTCGTGCTCGAAGTCGAAGATATATATAATACTTTAAGGTTCACCGGACCGTTGTCCTTTGGCCTGATGATTACTATGAAATACAGTTCGCTGATCCTTCATGGGAGAGATATCCGTGTCTGCATCGAGCATATCAAGACCGATTGGAGAAATATATGGTATCATGGCGATCGCATGATTATGATTAGAAACGCAAAATTCGGCCGTCGTCTCGTAATGATCAACGCGTTCATCGCGTATGGCGGTATCACGTTTTATCACATCGCCATGCCGTTGAGCATAGGCAAGATTACAGAGAGAAATAGTAATCTGACGTACCAACCACTGGTGTATCCGGTCGGCAGGATTATCGTCGACACGCGTTACAGTCCAATTAATGAGATTTTCTTTTGGACTCAGTTCGCGTCGGGTGTCATTTCGCAAACCGTCGCGACCGCTGCCTGTAGTTTGACTGCCGTTTTGGCAGTACACGCTTATGGCCGTCTAGAGATTCTCATGGAGTGGATTGTGCATTTAGTGGATGGGCGAAAGGATTTTTCTAATAACGTGAACGAGAGGCTAGCCATAATTGTGCAAGAACATGTGCGAATTTTGTGGTAAGTTCGCTATTCAGGAAATAACAATTATCTTCTTTTAAATGTGTTGCATATTTAATATTATCTTCCTCTAAATGTAATGCATATTTAAATCCTCCTTACATTTTTATTTTTAATTTTCCGTAATAACATTTGAAGGATATCGTGTAAATTATTAATCATCTTTTGTTTTTGTCTTCACTATAACACTATCATCACGATAATAATAACATTTTTTCAAATGCAAGAAAAATTTATTGATAAAGTGACTTTCACAAACATGATTATAAAAATTATATACTGCTCTTTATTTGTAATTTTATGATTAATTTATTGTTACATTTCCAACCATACGTGTATTGTTTTGCAGTTTTATAAAGTTAACAGAAAAAATATTGCAGCAGGTGTCTCTTGTGGAAGTTGTAGGATGTACGTTAAACATATGTTTCATTGGATATTACATAATTATGGTAGGCATATGGTACAAAATTTACAGCAAAATTCACTATTCTGTAATAATATTAGAATACGGATGATGTATGCAAAGTGTATTTCCGAAAATAGAAAATTTTAATTACAGGAATGGGATAGCGACTTTACAATTTACATAACATATATTGCTCTGCTTATGAATTTCGTCTTCAATCTTTTCATATTTTGTTACATAGGTGAACTTGTTGCCGAGCAGGTGTGATTTCGTACCGCCAAAAATTAAAATAAAAATTTTTACTGCTGCAAACTCAAAATATATATGTGTAATACATTTAATAAAATTAATAAATTTCTTCAGACTCAGACAAAATAAATCAATGTTGAATCATTAGTATGATTCAACATTGATACATTTAATAAATTAATAAATCAATCCTGTACATAGTGCAAGAGGGTTAGTGAGATATCATACATGATCGATTGGCATCGTCTACCAGGAAGGAAAGGTCTGGCTATTATACTAATGATTGCAATGTCCAATTCATCAGTTAAACTTACTGCTGGAAATATCATTGAATTATCTATGAGCAGTTTTGGTGATGTAAGTATTTATATAAATTAATTGTAAGTTTTATAGAATAAATGTTCAATTGCATGACTTATGAACGTATATTAAACAGGTGATTCAGACATCGGGTGTCTATTTAAATATGTTACGTACGTTAACTACTTAAAAATTTGTCGCAGTTTTAAGTTATAATACTGATTAATTTAAATTGCATTTGTTGCAATATAAATAATAATATTAGACTAGCAATATATAATTTAGAAAAAAAATTAGAACAAAATAATAAATTCATTAAAAAAAATTATTTTAAAATGTTGATAAATCATTTCCCACATACAACATATATAATGTATTTTATACATTTATAATAAACATAAATGTTAGCTAAAATTCATTTAATAAAATCGCTCTTATTTTCTTTTTTTTTTCTATTATCCAATCTTAATATTAATTTCTTATTAATATCTTAATTTGAAGCGCAAAGTTATTTGTATTTTACTTATATTTTGTCCCAAGAGTATATCAGATAAAATAGAGTTTCTTAGTAGAGATATTTAAAGCAAAAATTCCTGTAAAGCATATACGATGTGCCAGTATATTGAACGAAAGATATATCTTTTAATGTAAGGAATTATATTTTAGAGATAAAAAATTCATCGTGTTTTCACGTAACGTGACTTATAACTGACAGCACTGAATAAGTGCTGTTACGTGAAAACACGTACGATGAATTTTTTATCTGTAAAATACAGTTCCTTACATTAGAAGAGTATATCTTTCGTTTCGTTCATTTCCTATCTTTATTACACATTATATTGAACTTTATATGCAACAAGTGTAAATATCGATTGTGCACAGTCAGCTGACACAACAACGTACTTTCTGTTAGGAATAAGTCATATGTTCGCACACATGCTGCCGTAACTACTTGACTTGCCATTGAGACGCATTGGCAATAGTAAAGACTAGTAATTAACGCACTCACCGTGGATAAAGTACAATGCGTTCCTTCTGTATCTGTCCGAAATAGACATTTACAGGTGAAATAATAATTTACAGCCTTCAACTAAATTGTTGGATTTTAAAACCGATAGATGTTTGGAGCTTGATAATCGAGAAGAATTTATCGAAAATTCTGAAATTACACTGAGAGAAATGATTTTGTTATAGGAACAAATCAAGGAAAAACAAATGTGATATTTGTTAAGAAATTGATTAGTTACTTATTGCAAATTAATTATTTCTCATTCGTCAATGTAACAAATAATCAATAGTATCGCTAGCAAATAAAAGGTTCATATAATACATAGAAGAGACCGTAAGGTCTCAAATCGTATGAAATTGACCAATTCTAGTCAAGTATTCTCCCTATATTTGACTATGATTGGTCAGTTTCCTACGACTTAAGATCCCCCGATCATTTATGATTTCTATGATAAACGATCCTAAAGTCTGTCCAAAAGATAGGTTAGATTCTATATAGTTTGCTTCTATTACTAATAATTGGTTGGTATAGCGAGAAGAGAGCATTAAGACATAAAGAGACACCCTAGAGAAAGACGCATTATAGCAAGCGTTTAAGCATTCATCATGCAAGGTGGTATTTTTTTGTTACAACGTGACGGGGGGAATATCGCCAATACGTGATAATCGGCAATGAAACGGTCGCAATAGGTCATTTATCACGTCCATTTTTCAATATGATCGTGGACACCAAGTTTATTCCCAGTATATGAGATTCTGTTCACGTTTCAATGCCTTTCGTCTCTCATCGTGAACATCATAGTTGGTGCGTGCGGTTTGGTCACATTATTAGCGATACAGGCACGTAACTCGGTAATGTTGAGAACTGGTTGAGAAAAAACAAGAAAAGAAGTCATTCAGAGAAAACTGGCGAATCTCGTCGAGTGTCATCTGCAAGCATTAAGGCAATAAAATTGCTGGTATAATTTATCATTATAAACATTTGTACACTGTTAAATCTATAGTGTCAAATTTAATTTAACGTGAGTCGCCACTGCTCTTACTCAATCATATCGTTATTTTATACTAAAACAATAATTATATTTGACACTGTATAGTGTTAATTTGATACTATATGTATAGTGTCAAATTGACGCGATATAGAGTCAAATTTAACTATCGTTTTGGTAAGAAATAATGATATATTTGGTAGGAGCAATGGTGATTCACGTTAGATTAAATTTTACACTATAGGTTTAACAGTATATAGCTTTTAAACATTTATAAGAAAACGACCAAATATGTAAATAATTATTAATTTGAATTTATTTAAAATTATTATATCGTTTAAATTAAAACTTTAACCATGCAAATTATGTATGATATGAGTAAATATATCTGTCACATAATAAATATTTTATATAAAATTATTATAACTATTTTGTTTATACACATAAAAGTTATGCATAATGTGCATTTAAATAGTAGATTTTTGTAATGTTACAACTTACCAATCTTTTCATTGTTGTGTTTCATGGATCTTTAGTTAGCGTTTAAAAAAATGTGCTACAGAAAAAATTAATTTTATGAATTTTACAAGTACAATGCAAGTAAAGTAATTCATGATTCTATACGCTCACTCACGAAGCAAAATGTGTACTGCACGCGTCACAGTTCGCATGTTATGTACATGTCTTTACTTGTAACTAACGGTGCAACAAGTAGCGGTTATCGATTAGCACAATGGCCCGCCTCTTGCTCGGAACTCTGAATGAAGACCTGCGCAATCGTAGTATTGACTTCTGAGAAATGGGATAATACAGAGAAAAATGTTCAGTGTTTTGCGCGCTTTTAAAGAACGACCATGACGATCGCATCTGAGTCTGATAAACCAATATCGGTTTCGTATCGCCGTAATGAACATCACGATCATAGTCTTCAGTTGAATCGTTGGTTTCTGAAACCAATCGGCGCCTGGCCAGAGTCGCGTGTTACCACAATTAGCGAGAGACTCCTGTCGAGAATCATTCAGATAACATGCTACGCCCTCATAGCTTTCACGGTTATTCCTAGCATGATGTACTTTTATCTTGAGGAACAGGATCTCGATACCAAGATGAGATTAGTGGGTCCCGTAAGCCACTGGATTATGAGCGCATTAAATTATACCTCTTTGCTGTGGCGTGGCAAAGACATACGTTGCTGCATCCAACACATGAAGAACGATTGGTGCACGGTGCGCAGAAATGTGGATCGCGGAGCGATGCAGAGATACGCCAAATTTGGTCGATCTATGGCCGCATTTTGCGCCGTTTTTATGCACTGCGGTGTGTTCTCGTACAGTGTAGTGAACAGTTTAACGCCGATAATCATCGTGGTCGGCAATGAGACTGTCTCGATGCGACGATTGCCTTGTCCGTTTTACAGCAAGCTACTGGATACCAGGCAAGATCCGATGAATGAGATCGTTCTAATGACACAATTCCTGTCAGGTTTCATAGCTAATTCCGTCATGGTCAGTGCTTGCAGTCTTGCTGCGGTTTTCGCAATGCATGTGTGCGGCCAATTCGCCGTGCTCTACATGTGGTTGAATGAATTGACAGACGAGGAAAAACGAACTTCCGAGAGTAAACTGGCAAACATAGTCGAGCATCATCTACGTGTACTAAAGTAAGGAATCGCTAATCCAGTTATAGTAAGACATTTATAACAATTACAATATAAAATATAAATAAATCTTGAAATTCGAGAAAATTATGACATTTCTAGTTTTATATCACGCTTTGAAAAAATCATGAATCAAATATGCATGGTGCAATTAGTTGGATGCACTTTGAATTTGTGCTTGCTTGGTTACTGTTCCATTAAGGTATGACAAAAATATAATTAATAAAAATTTTTTTTAATACAAATGCATATACTTTTTGAAGTAACGTACTCCTTTTTTAGAAAAACATTTTTGTTTCTTTTTATGACACTTTGTTTTATAATTTCAGGAATGGGATGCAAGAAACACGAAAACTATAACAACATATGGTATTCTTTTCATATCTCTATCTTTCAATATCTTTATATTTTGTTATATCGGTGAAATAATCACGGAGCAGGTAACGCGTACAAGTGAATCACAAAACTGCTTGTGTTTCGGAATATAGTAAAAATATTTAAAATATTACTGATTCATTATTCTGCACAAATATTCTCGTTATATTTATAAAATTACCGCAGTGTAAAAAAGTTGGCGAAATGGCTTACTTTACCAACTGGTACTATTTACCTCATAAAACTGCTCTTGGTATGGTGCTGATAATATCGAGATCCCGTTTTATAATTAAAATTACTGCTGGAAAATTGATTAATCTCTCCTTAATGACATTTGGCGATGTAAGTAGATTTTTACAACACCGAAATGAGACTTTGTTATCTTCAGTATCTATCCTTCATCGTGTTTTTGCATAGCATGCATTATAAATTTTTATAAATTTTTTGTTTTATAAAAAAATTTAACGTAACGAAGCTTCAAGAAAAAGATCATATTAAAAAAATCTTTCATAAAATTTATTTTATTTAATGTATTGTTTCTTTCTAGGTAATTAAAACTTCTGTAGCATATCTAAATATACTTCGTACCGTAATGTAATATATTATGTGAAGATACTTACAATTAGTAGGCGTCAATTAAATAGATATGCAATAGGAGACTATTTCGAAGCTTTGAGTAATGTTACTTTTCTTATCAATAATAATATAGTCTTTACGAAATCGTCGAAATTATTATAGTAGATATATAAAGAGTTAAAGTATGTATGTATAAAGAACATACGAGATATAAATACATAGAAATACTCACTCGCTATATGCATTTTAAAGTTCATAAAATATTAAAATTACTATTTTGTGCTCTCTTCCTTTTTATGATTTTCCTTTTAATGCAATATACTTTATGAATGCATCAGAAAGCGACGCCGAGAACTAACAAAGCAACAAGTTGCACTATCGATCAGTATGAAATTCCGCTTCCTCGCTCACAACCTATTTCCGTTCGTGATGTATCAATTAAAAAAATGCATTGTACGTTGCGTATGAAAAATGATTGATGCAGAGCACTTTACTTAATTTTGCTTGATTCGCCAGCTCAACGTATAGAAACATTCGCAATGACGTTATTGAAGCGACGAGTCCGATGACACTGGTCAATCGATC